GTTGAAAGTGCATGTTTCAGGTAGCTTTGGCTGATTACGTGTTTCAGTGGACTTCTGAAAACTTTCTTTACCTCCAGTGTGAAGGCGTAGAAGTGAATGAAAGCTGATACTTTGGCTTTTAGCTATTGCAGTTTGAGTTATCAATATATGTGCTTCTCTTCACTGAATTGTGGTGGTGGTGTTGGGGGCAAGGAAGGTGGCAGTGGCTTTTTTGCATTATAGCAGAAGTAACAACTCACATCTCACATAAAATCTTTCTTTTTTTACTGCTGTTTGCACTGACGTATGTAAAGTGCAATATGCTTTCAGTGGCCAAATAAAGATGTATTATCAGTATGTGTCTTGATCTAAGACAAAATATTAATTTGCCTAAGAAATAATATTTTCTGCTGAATTTTTCGTTTTCATGTTGTACCTGAGACTATCCAAAATGTTACTGATTGCATTGAGAATTTATTTGGGCAGATTTTAGGGGCAGTAAAGCTTTACAGAAAGTGATTTTGCAGTCACGAATAAGGCAGATTGAAAGGTTCAGGAAGTACTTGCATATTCATCTCATTAGGTAACAGAAATCCTATCACATGGCTTGTCTGATTTACCGCAGCTTTAAGATCCTGTCTCAACTAGTTTCAGTGAATTATTTGAAAGATCAGATTGGCCAGTAGGAAAAAGTTTCTCATCAGCAACATAGTTGCAGTGTTGGAGCAGGTTATTCCTGGAGTTTTGGAGTCATTGTCCTTGGAGGTTTTCAGGACTCACCTGGACAAAGCATTGGTGGCTCAATCTGGTGTTGGCGTAGTCCAGCTCTGACTGCAGTGTTGGACAGCAGGACTTCCAGAGGTCCCTACCTGCTAATATTTCAATGATTCTAATTCCAGAAAACTGTTTAAAGACTTATTTGAAGGGAAACATGATTTCTAATGAGACAAAAGTCTAAATTTATTGTGTAATTGTTTAAACTGGTAACTTTAGTGTAAGTTTATAATAATATTAATGAAGGACAGTACCATGCAGGTGCCTTTGGTCCATCCATAAATTTCATAGAAAAATAGAATTTTGATATTCGAAAGCCTGAAATCTGCAGAAACTCAACTAAACAACATACAGTTCATTGGAATTAAGTGGGAGCTGAGTATGAATACAACTTTTGTAAGCTTGGACAACGGATTGATTTTCAGCCCATAAGGGAGAGAAACTACGTAAAATGGTAGAGAAAGCAATTCCATTTTTATTTATGTAGCCTAGTCATCAGTTTAACATTTTAGTTTGAGTCAAAAATAAATTAAATTCCAGCTGGTGCAGGATTGTGAGTGCTTTCAGTACAGCTTGGTGAGGCTAATATCTGCAGGGTATCAATCCATCAGAAACCACCTTTCTGACACATTTTTGCATATTACCAAGCTTTTATGATTATCCCAATGGGATTTTGAGGCCTCCACACTACATTTACAATCATTACAGACCTACCTGGCAGACCAAAAAATCAGATCTCTCAAAACATCTGGACAGCAATCAAAGAACACTGCAAAGCAGTTCTTCCCATGCCCTTTCCCACTCATTTGCTGTTAAAGAAAGGATGCCAAAAAATTCTTAACATACGGGTTTATGTTTCAAGAATTACAGTAAGCTCCTCCTTCAGAAAACGTTGCCACAGTTGCTTATAATCTCATCTAGGAGCTTAAGAACTGAATGGCTCCTGAATGTCTTTTTATGTTTGCTTATAGGTGACATTTCCCCTGCCAAATCATTTCAGAGAGGCTGAGGCACACAGAAAAAAATCTGTTACTGTTGTGCAAATAAACAAGGGTCCATACTTATTTAACTGAGCTTCTTGGTTTCTCAGAAACAAAATGATTTTTTCTAGAAGAGACCTTTGGAGGTCATTTTGTCCACAGTCTCAGCTTGACCAATTTTGAAGTTAGACCTGACTTCATAGTTAGTTTGCATTTCTCAAGGCATTTCAAGCTATTTGACAAGATTCATAATCATTGTCTTCCTTTTAACTGATGAGTAAAGTAGGAAGGAAGTGAGGAAGACAAATAACTTTTTGAGATACAAGTTTGGAACAGAGGACTGACTTTTAGCTGCTCTGAAAGATAAGTTTTGCTGTAGATCTGAACGTAGCAAGGATATCACTCCATATCTCATGTGCCTAAGTTTCATCCTCTTTTTATTTGGCTATCTCAAAAAGACTTCTGTGGTCAGAACATTCGGTCAGTGGTGTTTTTAATAATATTGTAGTAAAAGAGGGCCTTGTTTTTGTTTTGAATTGTTTCTATTTATGGAACTGAGGGAGGAGTATGTGTGGTAAGAATGAAATTGTCACAGATTTGTCCATTTCAAGCACAATGTATTAAATGAGCTTCTTCAACTTTCTTATGTCATCTAAGACAGTTTTATTTTCCAGTTTTGCTGTATTATAAAAAATAAATGAAAAAAAAATGACTACAGTGCTAACCTTGGATAACGATGAATCTTCATCTTTAAAACTTTTATTCTCCATCCAAGACATTCTCCTTGTATGGAGCCTACAAACAAGAACGTCTATAAACATGACTGCCAGGATTAAAGCTAAAGGTGAGCCATAAACTTTATTTCAACAAGATCTCGGTTACAAATTAACTTTGCCAATGCCCAGTGTGCAGGGCTTATACCACGTGGTGTTTCAGGAAGTGGATCCTGGTGCTGTTCTCTGCAGACACGCGATGTCATTCCTCTGCATTTTTTAAATCAATGATGTGGCAGAGTTATGCACACAGAGGAGTGGGAAGACAATTGCCAAACTTGCAAATGTATCAAGGTCTTTGGCATTGGTGTGAATTGGGTTTCCTTAACATGAAATGTAGCTCAAGTAAATTCATTTTTGTATTCTTTTTTTCTTTTATTTTCATGTTAGATCCTGCAAGACAGGGGCAGAGGTACTGGCATTCTTTATGCCAGTTCATAGATGCCTGTAAGCATATATGTCAAGCTGTCTAAGAATATATGAAGTGTACAGGCTTCTATTCAAATCCAATAATTATCATTTTATGTGAAGTAGTTACATATTAAGGCTTTGAAATGGCACCCTCATAAAGGTAGCTGAATTGTGCCAGACTTGTGGCTAAGTGCAGCACTTTTTCTTCTGTGAACAGCTAAAATCTGTGCTTTCATTCATATGTACAGATGCTACCTTACCCCAGACACCTCTGTAGCATACATGCATTTGGAACGGGAGCAATAGGTTGGGATAAGAAGAACACTTGAAATGAATGTATTTTTATAGTTCTTATAAAGGGATAAGAATCATCCCATACACAATTAACAGGTTATTAAGCTGCTTCATTACCAGTATATCCAACCAGGAGGAGTATAAATAGGCTCTTCTAGACAGGCAGTGATGGGAGAAAATATAGCTGCTGTGTGCCAGAAAATACACTACTGAATATATTCTTATTCTGTAAGTATAAGTATGTTACAGATTGAAGTTTTCACCTCCGTGTATTTGGGAACGTGCCCCTTTTACAGCAGTGATACATCATCGGGGCTGCTTTTCAGCTGCACGTGAGCAGCAGAGGCAACAGCTGAGAGGCATTTAACAGCTACTTTGTGAAGCTCACTGAGCTGCACCTGTGTGCTGTGAAGTTCTCCGCGTGGTCTCCACCAGGTAAATACTTGTAAGTTTGAGTTCTACGATGGTATCCCTGAACTGCAGTTTACTTTCACTGAAATAAATGTAAATAATAATGCTTTTAGCATGTGAATTGGTGTCTGCCAAGCTGGGTCCGTAATTTTGTAAGACTTTAAAGGAGCATAAAAAACTGACCACTTATAAAACTAATATATTAAAAGAAGGGAAGAAAATGAGATGTTAATGTTTAAATCCATTGGATAGTCACAACTAAATGTCCAGCTCTGCATTTTCCCTGTGTTAGGAGTGACTTAGCAGCAGCAAAGTTTTTTTGGTCACCAAAAAGTATATTTCAACCCAACACTGATATTGAATTACAAATTAAAAATCTATTTAAACAAGTAAATTAAAAAATGTATAACTTGCAATATTTATCCTCTAAAAATTATTAGAGATTCATTAGTGCTGATAATAGAAAATGTAATAGCATAATGAGAGCATTTTAGAGGCTTTTTGGTTATGGCTGCTTTGAGATAAATTTGAGTTTGACAGTGTCTCTAAAAATGTTCGTGGCCCCTAACATTACAGATTCTCCTACTGCTGCCACCCAGCAGAAATGCCTAGAGCAGCATTTCTATGGTAGCTAAACCAGATGGTGTTTTACCATTGCAGAGTCTCACCTGTGAAACAGAAAGGAGTTATAGAGGAAAAACTGCTTATCTTGAACTGTAAATAATGACAAGGAAATAGTCCTTTATCCAGCCATTTTCTGCAGAAAGCACAGGACTTTCTGTTTTGTGTGTCATCTTACATACACTTTCTCAAAACCAACAGGATTCAGCTTTGAAGCCTCATACAGGACAGGGCCTAAAATGCAAAGTGCTTTCTGCCAGCGATGTCCGCTAAAGAAATCCTGTGCTCAATTGCACCTTTTGTTACACGTAAACTCTGGCACTGATAGCTCAGTTCGGACACAGCAACGTCCACAAGTGCAATTAATTAGAAGCAGGTGACGATTTTTCGTTTTGAGGATTTCAAAGCTAAGAAACACGTTGTGCTTTGGGAAGCACACGTGCATACTTTCCAGATTTGAAAATCAGAAAAGGAGGAGGAGAGGGCCGGGGGGAGCGCTCAGCCCCCATTGAAGCCCCCGGGCGGGCTCGCCAGGATCGCACAGAACTGAAAGCAGGTAGAGACACTTCCTGCAGGCAGCACCGCAGAAGGGAGTTTTCCTCTGATCTCCCTCAAAAACCAATCAGGCCAGATCAGCCAGGCGTTGATTCTCCTTCTGTCCCTCCTACACCTTTCCCAAAGACCCAATGGCCTTGTCCCTCTGGGAGATTGACTAGAGTCACATGAGCCGCACCGAGGGCAGGTAACTCAGGAGAGGCGAAGGGGGGGGTAAAAAAAAAAAAAAAAAAAAAAAAAAAACCAGGCTCAGGCTGGGCTTCTGCCATGATGTCAGAGGGAAAGAAACCCACAGCTTGCTAATTTCACCTCCCAATCGGCCCCGGGAAAAGGAGATCACCGGGAACAGGTAGAGATGCGAGTTTTCTCCGTTTTCCTTTTTTTGGCTCTCCAAAGATCTGACTTCTGACCAGCTCTTTCTCTCCTCTTAATACCGTACTCTTCATCTCTCCTTTCCCCTTCGATCACTTGGAGGTAGGGGGTGAACCTTTGCGGGATTTTGTTGTTCCTTTTTTGTCCGTTTGCGTGTCTTTCTTTTACTTTTTTTTTTTCTCTTTTTTTGACCTCTGCTTTTGATTGTAGTTGTTTCCCCCTGTGGTCATGACGGCTTCGCACAGTGACTCTTTGGTGGTGTTGTTTGGGGCAACAGCTGGTGCATATGGGGCTAAACTGGGTTCGGATGAGAGGGAACTAATTCTCTTGGTGTGGCAAGTTGTGGATCTCCCCAGCAAGAAGGTACGGCTTCGACACCCGGCGAGGGCGCGTTGCGGGCGGCTGCCGTTTGTTCATTTCACAAATGCACCCCGGGCAGGGCAGACCGGCCCTCCGCTCACCGCGTTACTCCTTCACAAAGCCCTTCCGTCCTTGTCGGTTTTGTGCCCGTTTGAAGGGAAGAGAGAACGATTTTAAGGAAAGCTAGGCCGCTTCCCGCCGCCCCCCGCCCCGTCCTTGCCGATCCGTCGGTGGTTCCCACTTCGGGGACGTCTGCAGCCTCCCAGCACAAAGCTGGCTGCAGCTCGGACGCGCACGCTGCCCCGGCGGCTCTCGGCGTAACCGTCGGGCCCGGGGCGGCCTGCAGCGGGCGGCTTTTGTTGTTTTTTAACCGACGTCTGGCAAACGCTTAAGAGAACCTTAAATTCCTTTAATTTTTATGCTAATCTGAAAACGTGTTCCAGTTTCCAACCCAACCCCCCCCCCCCAAAAAAGAAAAAACAAAAAAAAAAACCCTATTACGAATAAGAATCCCTAGAGATAAAAGGCTTTGACAAAATGAAGACGTTTGCTTTGATAAAACGATCCATTTTGTGAAGAGATCTGGGAAGCTGCCTTAACACTAGATGATTTTCCCCTTACGTTGAGCAACTCCCTCTAAAATGAGCTCTGCGTGCCATGAAGGCCAGCTCTGGTGCCCGGAGCAGACAGCGTGGCTCTCCCGGGTGGGAGGGGAAGAAACCCAGGCGAAAGGTTTCGATTTGTGAAATCGACAAATGCTTTTTCTCATTGTGATCGTTACCGGGGCAGAGATACTGCACCTTGCTGATTTTTTTCTGCAGTCTGAAAGCGTGTTACCAAGAGCCCGTTCGTTTGTTCCTCACTTTTGTCCCTTGTTTCTTAAATGTTTTTAGGTAGGGACGCTACACAAATCCCTGGTGAAAGCAGACAATTTGGAGTTAAGTGACCAATGTCGTGAAGTGAGTGGTTTAACACCAGAGGGACTGGGCAAAGCTGAGCCTCTGGACCGGGTTCTTCAACAGGTGAGATGCTGCTCTTCGGAAAAGGGGCTCTTCAGGGTGAAATCTGGGGACGACACCCAACTGTTTGGTAAAAGAAATACTTCAACTGTCTTTCACTTTGAAGTCATTGGCAAGTTGTTGTGTTTGTGACAAAGCTAACCTAAACAAGACCTGAAACAGTTGAATTGGGAGCCCTGGAATTCTGAAAGAGTTGTGTTCAATGCCAGCTGATTCTCAGAAGCTCTGGCTTCTGATTATTCTGATAGGCACACTTGTGTTCCAAATTTCTCTTGCCCGAGACTTTTTTTTTGTTTTAAAGTAGAATGATAACAGCAGTACTGCTTAAACTTTTGAAATGCAGGTGGCACATGTTAATATACGGGCTCATTGCTGAGTGTGAATCATCTCTCAATTGTTATTCTTCAAACTGGATGAATTCTTTAAAAACTATCTTATGTGGAACGCAGCTTTTTTATCTATATCAGTCTTCCTGATGAGCTTAATTAGTGATTGATTGTTTCTTCAGTTTCTGTATTCTACTCTGACTTATATCACACTGATATGTGATTTGGTATGGTCCTTTCACTTCTAGAGGCCATCAATTACTTTAAAGCTTTTAATGTGAATACTGTGTACTTACTCAGTTCCTGAAATTTTACTTTCTTTCCCTTTTATACATACAAAATGTGCTCGAGTGGAAAAATACAATAGTGCATTTTTGTGGAACATATAAGACTGGCTTTCCACACCTTGTCTGAGTCACTTGTAGGTGTGTTTCAGCAAGAAACTTGCTTAGGCAGTAGAACAGGTTCGTGTTGCTGTAAGTTCTGGTGACACAGAGATAGCTTGGCAGACTGACTCCTAACCCTCTTTGATATGGAATGGCTAACATTTCACTCTGGAGGGGTATCTTTAAAAACAGAAATATGTAACTGCAGTGTGTCTTAGAATTTCTTGACATCAGCCATGAATGCCATTCGTTACACATTTTGCTGGATTCTAAGATCGAGAGGTGATTTTAAAAAAAAAAAAAAAATTTAAGCTTCAAAATAACCCCTGAGAAAATGCACAGCTGCAGGTTTGGTCTTGTCCCAGATCTTGCACTAAAGACATCTGGAACAGCTTAGCCTAGTACACTCTGTTTACCTTTATAACAGACACACTTTAATTATACTCAATACTTTATGAGAGATTGTATCTTATTGCTGTAAATTGCAGTGTAGGTGGGTCTGCGTTAGCAAATAAAAGGAAATACTACCTTTGCGTGTAGGTGTGGTAGGGACTCTTGAAAAACAACAATTTTATCCCTTTTGTTGGACATATCTGTGCAACTAGTGATTTTGTTGTTAATTGTGGCATACCCGTTGTGATGCAGCTGGTTCTGTCTTGGGACTCCTGGAACACCCTTCACCTCAGCTTGTGTCCCTGCCCCTCCATGCTTCCTGTCTCTCTGGGAGTTTGTGGAGAATTAGTTCCTCCTTTCATCCTTTCCCCTCCAATTGTAGCGAAAGGTCAAATTCTGTATTTTTTTAACAGAAAATCCTTTTCTGCATATTTTTTTTTAAGTCCATTAAATGATTTAACTGCATTGTGTATTTTTAAGGATGTTCCAGCTGTTTATAGGTACATGTAGATTTTTTTTTTTTATCCTCATTTAAGTATTTTGATTAGCCAAAGCACAGGTAGATGAAGTGATTATTTGAAAAGGAGGAGGAAAAGGAAGTAAGCTTGTACCTTGATTTGAGATAATGTTATAGAGTCTGTGAAATTAGCTTTCCACACCCTGCTTGGGTTGTGGTAGAGAATCTGATGATGCAGCTGCGAATTGCTCACTTGAACACTCAGCCTTACAAATAAACGTTCTCAGTGCCTGCTTCTGGCTTTTTCCTTCGGTTCTCAGCCTCTGCATGTAGAGGGAAGTGAGACTCTCCAAGCATAAAGCCATTGTAACTTCTGTCTGCATTTCGGAGGTTTCTTCCGACCTCAACCACTCTTTGATTCTGATTTGGCAAGTCATAACTGATAAACAGTAGATGAACTTCTGTGGGCCTGGAGTTTTTCCACTGACTGTGGAAGACCTGCTAATTTTCAGTTCACTTTCCAGGAATGGTGGAGTCTACCAGTAGCCTATAGTCTGTGGTTATGTCTGTCCTCCCCAACAAAGCACTTCCACAAATGTTGCATCATTTCAGTTGTATTTCATATTCTGCAGCATTGCATCTTACACAACTTATTACTTGGATTTGACTTCAGTATCCTGGAATAGATGTTTTCCCTGATATATTTTACTGTGTAACTTTACAGAGAGACATTCTGAATCTCAGTGCCCCCTAAATAAACAACATTTATATTGTGTACATTTTGCTGCAAGGTTTTAAATATTGGTTTTGTCCAAGCTCACAAATGTTTGATTCCACACGTGCTAGTGCATTTATGGGATCCACCTGTATGTTCTGGCAGGTGATGTGCCATGTTTGGCATGAATGTTTAGATAGCTATTTTGGTTGGGGAAGAGGGAATCCTCGCAGCGTACAAATATTAGGGTTTATTATTATTATTTCACCTTGGAAGCAGTCTGCTTGATGTATTTAGTTCAAAGTGAAAGTTGTAACTTGGCTCTGTTTTTGAGCCACAAATGGTGAACATATAACTGCTGACAGAAATGTGTTGTTGTAAGTGAAGAATGCTACTGGGTAGAAAAAAAATGAGGATTTTTTTTTTTTAAAACAAAGTAGGAAATCTCAAGTTCAATGTATGTCTGGAACTGTCTTGAACCTGTGATGTAAACCCCTTAGCACATGTTACCTACAGGACTTACTGAAGGGAGCAGTGTCCTACATTGCTTCCTGCATTTCTAGGACTTCCTTGCCAAATTACTTGGGTCAGATCTAAATCATAGCGCTGGCTTGTTTAGGATGTGATTTAGAGTTTTCTGAATAACTGCTGTAACTTTATGGTTTCCCAGTTTCAAAGACTATAGGGGAAGAAGAGGTTTCAAGTTGCTCTCTGAAACCTCACAGGATTGGAAGCTTGCTTTAAAGGAGCAAAACCAGAATGAACTTTGCCTTTCTCTCATCCCCATGATTCTGTCATTAAAAGGGCTAACATCTTCAAATGCTTCTCTTATTATAGCCATGGGGATTCTTAAGTTAAAGATTGAATATGAAGTTGAAAGTGTTGTGGATTTCCCATGCAGAAAACCTGGCTGAATCAGCATGATTTGCCTTAAGACATATTACTTTCCTTTTGCAAGATGTTATTTGCATGTCACCCTGACAAAGGATACAGTCTCAGAAGAGCTAACAATTTTGAAGATCTGACTGAAGTATTTAGCTGTAATTACCTTCTTACTTTGAACGATATACATGAAAAGGGAGTTTCTCATGAGAGCTGGGTCTGCTTTGAGCCCGTTGAAAGCATCCAAATTTCACCTGTGGAGTGACATTTCAGCATGAAGAATTTGTCTGCAAGACTGTCCTACTCTTGCTGATCTTTCATCACGCTGTGTTGGATGCAGTATGTTAGTGATGCATTTGGTTTGGATTCTTAAACATAGAATGACCAACATGTTCATTTTGCCCTTCTTTGCTAAACTGTGCATAAAGTAAAACTAGTGAGACTGTCAGGTCTCATCAGGTGATAACAAGGTACTAGTTCTCTAAAGCCTGTTTGAATGTTTATTGATAGTTCACCTCAGTTGCAGGAGCAGTTTATTTTCTGAAGTATCAAGAAATTCTGCAAGAAACAAGCTGGTTAGGTGAGCGTTGGGAAAGAAATGGGGGAAGAGGTAGAAGAACCACTGAATTCCTCTAACCTGATAAACCGGGTTTACAACTCACAACTTTTTAAAGAGAAACTTGTTCTGCAGCCTCCTCTTAAAATGCTAGCAGAAACTGTTCCTGGCTCCTTCTTTCCAGCTGTCACACTTTCACTTTGGATAAATGATTTTTTTTAAAATTTTTTTTTTTAACGCACCTCTTAGGCTTCAGACTGGAGAAGGAAGCCTGAAAATGTGTGCTGACTGCCAATCAAAATAAACATGAACCCAAAAAATACAGGATACGAAAAAAAGGAGATTCATATGTATGTTAGTGGTAATGCTGAGCTGTTCTCCTGGATTAGAAGGTTAATTCATGTTGTTTTGTTTTTGACCACCTTAAGTATAGCTAACTCAAGAAGAAAGAAGCATATAAATATTTCTCTGTGTTCAAAGACATTTTATTGAAACTGATAATAGCCTAAATTTTATTTCTTTATTTGGTGCTGTGTCTGGTCTTCCAGCGTGAGATTATTTGGTGACTGTATTGGCCCAATGTAACACTTGTTAGAGTCTATATGTTGGAGTATTTGCTGGGTCTGAGTCTGGAAGTTTTGGAGCAGGTGTTTGAGAAACCTTTGGCAAGTGTTACTGAGCAGGCTGTTCTTTCCACAGCAAATATTTAGGGTGTAGTTTCACAAGACTTGGCTTCAGCAGTGAAGCCAGCTTTTTCTTCCCGTGTCATAATTTGCCATCCTCTTTGTTGTGACAGTAAAGCTTTTTGTGAAGCTGTGCTATGATCAGGATCACTGAAATGAGCAGATAGGGTGGGATCTTCTAAACTGCTTTGCTGTCCAAGCTTACATCCCATGAAACTACACCCTTCGACTTCTTTCATGATCCAGCTTGTTTGATGGTGATGCCAGCTTAAAGTATTTCTGCCCCCACATCATGCTCTCAAGCTGCAGTTGCACAAAAACTTTGTGGCACCTTTCACTTAGTGGTTCTCACATGGACGTCTCTCCCCTGCATTCTGATAGTTCACAGGGTTTGGGGGCTGCAAATGGAGCAGGATGCAGTTCTGAGTTGAATACCAGCTCTGGAGTGGATCTTTCTGAGCAGTGCAGCAGGTAGATAGTTTGAGGACAGCCACAGTGCCAAGGTGAGGGCAAGCATGCAGGTGAAATGAGAGAAATGCTTTAAGGCAGGTAGGATGCCAAGCAGTTTGTAGTGTGGCCTTGGTTTTGTGTCAACAAGAAGTGAT